AAAAATTGGTCCTTCGAGCCGGATCGGAAGCTGACCGGACAAGCCGTTCGGGCAATGCCAAACCGTTCTAAGACAAAGACTTACATACATTGAGTGCGAGGTACTACCGCGACGCCACCAAGCTCATTATCCATCCTTGTGCCAGCACCGCGCACGAGTGAGTCGCAAAATGCCTCAACTATTAGAGATGCAGCTTTCGCTGCTCCACTCCGTGTCCAAGGCACTGGACAATCTCAAGAAGATCGGGAGGAACAATTTCACTCCCGCCAAACTCCGTTCGAGAATGACGTCGCTGAAGGAGACGTGGCAGCAGTGCAAGCAAGGACACGCCGCGCTCTCGAGCCAGTACACCAAAGCCGAGCGAGAGACAATTCCGTACTTTGCTGAGGGTCAACTTGACGCGCACGAGGACATTTTTCTGGCGACGCTGGACTACATGACTGAGCAATTGGAAATCCTCGAGCCTATCGTGAGACACAATCAAACCTCTGCTAATGTTTCGGTATCAGAGATCTCCGAATCATCATCACTGTCGCTACAGCATCTTCCGCCGATCAAACTGCCTCCTTTCTCCGGGGACGCGGCTGATTGGGAGACTTTTCGCGACCGATTCAAATCGTTAATCATCGCGAATAAAGACATTTCAAACTTCTCTAGAATGCATTTTCTGGCATCCAGCTTAACATTAATAGATGTTCACGTTGCGTCACTCTACAATTTACCTTCGGTTTCCCGCGAGTCCGCCGTTGAACTCCACGCGTTACGCGATCAAGCGGAGCGCGCGATATCCGCCTTGAAGCAACTAAATCGAAGCTCGGACGAACAGTTAAGCGATATACTTGTTTACCTCGTATCGCAAAAACTAGATCCCGCGACGAAAAGAGCGTGGAAATTGAAATGCTGTTCCGACAATTCAGACACGATTCCCACGTATGAAACTCTTAAGAAATTCATAAACTCGCGCGCTGTTGCCCTCGAGGAGATCGCTCCCGCGGCGTCCGCCAAGCCTCGGCAGGCCAGGGCACACAACGTCGCCGCGACGAAATCAAAAGAGGTAGCGTGCCCATTGTGCAAAGGCGCTCATTACTTGAGCAAGTGTACCAAGTTCTTGAGCAAGAGTGCGACTCAGAGACGCGACTTAGTAAAGCAGACAAATCGATGCTATAATTGCCTGAGTGCTCGGCACAGTGTTAGCGATTGTACAAGCACATTCACGTGTCGCACGTGCCAGCAAAAGCATCACACGCTTTTGCACTCTGAGTCGATCTCTTCCTCAACTGCTACGCCGACGCCCGATCAATCCGACCATGCGAATACGACCGGAGAGTTGCCCGCCAACTCACAAGTATCCGCGATGAATACGATCGCCGCCGACGCGGATCCCACGCCGGTCTTACTCGCCACCGCCGAGGTTTCTGTCCGCTCACGCGATCACCGAACCGAAACCGTCAGGGCCCTGCTGGATCAGGGTTCCGAAGTTACGTTCATAAGCGAACGACTCGCGCAATCCTTACGCGTTAAACGCACCCCCACTCGCACCACCATTTCAGCCGTTGGTGGAGCGTCAGCCGGCATATGCCGACATGCCACTACCATTTTTATATCTCCACGGGATCGAATCAAACCGGAGTTTCAGGCCCTCGCCTTTATCCTCCCATCCCTCACTAAGTACACTCCGCGACTGGAAAAAGCAGTTCCGGATTGGATCCACCTGGACAAACTGCGCCTAGCGGATAACAATCCTACCGGAGCACGTCCGATCGATGTTATTATCGGCGCGGACATTTACAGCGAGATCATACAGAGCGGAGTCCGTAAGGGGCTCAAAGGTCAACCGATTGCTCAACAGTCTCATCTCGGTTGGCTCATTTCGGGACCAACGACAAACCGACCGTCTACGCGTCATGAAATTCGCGCCTTTCATTGCTCTCTAGAACGGGAGATTCGAAAATTCTGGGAGGTTGAGGAGCCCCCCCCGTGTCTCAGCGCGCTCTCCGCTCGATCAACAATGCGAAATGCATTTTCAGCAGACTCACACGCGCACTGAAGACGGACGATATACCGTTCGCCTTCCATTCAAGTCTAAATCTCCGATCGAGATAGGCCACTCGAGGTCGATAGCCGTGCACCGATTGACCTCTCTCAAACGGAGACTCGATTCGTGCCCTGAAGTCAAAAAGGAATATTCCGATTTCCTCGCCGAATACGAGTCCTTACGCCACATGACGCGAGTTGAGCCAACGTCCGCGACAAATTCACTCGCTGTTTACATCCCCCACCATCCCGTTATTCGAACGTCTAGTGCCACGACTCGCCTAAGGGTCGTATTCGACGCCTCAAGTCCCACCTCCAACGAAACATCTCTCAACTCACATCTCCATGCAGGCCCGAAGCTACAGACAGATTTGCCGGCTGTCCTGATTCGCTGGCGTACACCACGCTACGTATACAGCGCGGACATCGCTAAGATGTACCGACAAATTTGGGTAGATCCCCGCGATCGCGACTTTCAAAGAATTGTTTGGAGGCCTAATGAGAGTGCCGACATTCTCGACTACCAACTTAATACAGTAACGTACGGAATGGTCCCCGCTCCATATCTCGCGCTCCGCGTTCTTAAACAGCTCGCAACGGATGAAGGCGAGCCATTTCCTATCGCTGTCTCGATTCTTAGGGATAATATTTACGTCGACGACGTTCTATTCGGTGCTCACACCATTTCGCAAATTCAAACAGCTCGCAAACAACTTTGCGAGCTTCTGTCTCGCGGAGGATTCACATTGCGAAAATGGGCGAGCAATCGGGCGGAGTTACTCTCCGATATTCCGTCTGAGGACCACGGTTTAGCGTGTCACCGTGATCTTCAGTTGGACGAAAACGTCAAGATTCTAGGCATAACTTGGACTCCAGCGCTTGACGCCTTCCAATTCCGCGTAGACTTAGTTCTCGAAATCCCGCAAACAAAGCGGC